ATTTGATTCGAGTAAGTACCCAGAATATTTAGCATATTTATCCAGCTACTGTAATATTTAGTTTATGGCTGAATCTTGATTTAGGTAATCGAATGTGACAACAACTTTCATGTACATTCACCATAGCACAAGAAGTATGAGCATATTTTTTGAATGATACAGTGGACTTTATTTGGCAATGAATAAACAGACAACAAAATTGCGCGAGTTCGGCGAAGAAAGCGAACTCTTCGCCAATCTCTAGAAGAGTGGTCAACGAGGACCTGGTGATGAAGCACTCCGACCAGCTAAACTCCGTCGTCAGGTACCGGTCACGTCGAGACGTGCCTCAGCCTTTCTACATGCAGCTCCATGCTACCACCGTCACCATGTGCCCTTCATGCTAGTGCGTCACCACGGCCAACACCTCCACCGCTTTCGTCGCTCGCGCATCCACCTCCCCCAGCCCAATCACCATCGTGGTGACTATTGCCACAGACGACACCAACAATTCATCAACAACATTGTCTTTCGGTAAACCTGGCGGTGGCGGTGAAAGAAATGGCAGCAACAGTATTGTGTGCATCAGCTCCACAGCAACAGCAACAACATCAACCTACCCAACCAGTCGCGTCATGACTAAAAAAGGAAGGCTACAGCTCCTGATAAACCACATGAAATGGTTGGGGATAATAACAATGAATTCCATGAAATGACCATCCCATGAACAATTATGCAACTGTAGAAGAAACAAGTAGAAGAAAAAAAGAACGAAAGAGCACCCAACGGCTCGAGAAAGGATGAAAATTGTGGGAATCCCCTTCAAAGATATGAACGGTTTTATAGGAATGGAAATGGACAGCTATGTGATGATACCCATTCATATTGTAAGAAGATAAAATAGTGAAGAAGACCCAAGCATAGTGTACGTCTCTTTCATATTGAATACAAGAAGATAAAATAGTGAAGAAGACCCAAACATAGTGTACGTCCCTTTCATATTGAATACAAGCAGACAAAATAGAGAAGAACTCACCTAGTCGCGTCCGCAGGGGAGAATCTCCTCCTTAGCTACAGTTCGCTTCCGTTCAAAATTATATGTTATAATTCGGAGAACTCTTGCGCGTATCATACGTAATCAAATAGTGTAACACAGTACTGGTTACATACACGATGGGGACAGGATACAATCAATGATCAATTGTTTCTTAAACACATATTTGGTTTTGGGTTTTTTTGTTATTACACAGGATGAAGATTAATTTGACTAATTTCCTTGTTCAACTCTTTTGGAATTTTGAATGAGACGTTCTGCATCCAGTACTCCTTGGGGACAGTTACAGACGCAGAGACCGGTACACTTGCAGCATGTTGTCGAAGAGCAATCCGCCACCGTTTTGCATGGATGTGCTACGTTTCTACCTTCTTCGATTCAACAACGAGTTTATTCGGACGAGAAGATAAGAACAAAATACAAAAGCGTCACAAACATGTATCACGAGTTGTACAAATACGGTCGAGAAGATCGATACGTACCGGAAGCAGAGAACACGACCAAAAGCACGAGGCAGAACATCGACTTGAAGTTAGTCTTTTCCATTATGCTTGATGATATGCTCTTCCACTTGATGGATGAGATCTTTTGATTAGTGATTTGTGAAGTATAGAGCATATATGATGTTGTTGATTTATATAAGAAGAGGATGTAGTTAATTAGGAGAGTTTGGTGTACCATATTTCTCTAGGGTATTTTTCTTCTTCTTCTTCTTCTGGAAAGACGTACATGGTGTTCACAAAAGATTGGGGTTTTCTTGTTCAGGAATTCATTTCCAAAAATCGACACTACAGTTATAATGCTTTCTTGGGCAGAAAAAACAACATTGATAAGTCTTTTGGTTCTTTTGAATGTTACAAATGCGCTGAAATCTGAATTCGTATAATACACGGAAAAAATGCAATTCCATGGAATGTGACAAGAATGAATGTATTTTTATTAACACGAAATTTTGATTAAATGAATCTAACTTGGAAGATAAAATTCCAACCTTTTTATTAATTACAACCTTTTTATTAGTCACTAAATGTGACATGTTTCAGTAATACGAGTGACTAAATGTGACATTTTTCAATAATTCGAGTGACCGGAGTTGGACAGAGGCTACAGAAGAGTGACCAAATGTGACCTGTGTCAGTAATTCGAGTGACCAAAATTGATATTAAATTTTTCTAGTGACTAAATATGACACGATTTAGTAATCTCGGTGACCAAATGTGTCATTTACCCAAATAGTTTATATATAGGGGTAAAATAAGTAATAAAATTGAAACATTAAATACAATTTTGAATCTCAATCATTGTGGAAAACAGATTCTACCCACTTATATAAAGCGTAATTTAATTAACTGTCCGTCAATTTTACACGACCACACAAACAATAGAATATGATATCATATAATTTTCCTCTCACACATTAATTTCACGATGTCAACTGTCCACCAAACTTCCGTTGGTCTCCGGTTCAAAGCCTCGGTACTGTCTCTCTCTCTTTGTAGCCTCCAACTCGAACTCGATCCAAACAAACAATCTATCGATAACGATGAGAATGGAACGACGGAGAGTAGATTCAAATTGCCACACCAGTCTAACCTTTCCACGATAAATATCACTACCGAAATGATTAACATCACCCATTAGTATTTCAACATTCAATTAGTTCTTAATGGTGGCAAAAGTGAACACATATAGCGACGGACGAGCCAATGCGAAACCGAAACATTAGCGGATGAGATAATTAACTTTGGTCTTTGAGGATACACAGAGAAAAACACCTATGGTCCCATTTTACCCCTTTTTGTACTAAAAAGTTCATGCAGACAAAACACTACACAGTCCTCTCACGTTCTCCACGTTTGACATTTCACTCCTTATGAACATAAGACTTAAAAAGAAAAAATTAATCTTTGACATATGGGTCATCTTAAGTTCCTAACCACGTAATTGATTCGTTGTACTCCGTTAAATTGTATACAGGAGATTTGCCTACAAATTAAATGGGTTGAGTTGTTCACGAGCGACTCGATATTTGGTTCGAAAAAAAAAAACTAGTTCAAAATTTGACTTGTTTATTAACGATTCGAGATTGAGCTAAGCCATGTTGAGCTCGTGGGGCTCGCGAGCCAGCTAGATTCGGTGGTTTTGTTTAGCTCAACCTGCGGGCTGATGACTTATTTTGAGCTCATAAGATGTCTTAACATTGTGGCTAACGAGCCAACTCGACTACCGGCTTATGAGCGATTCAGTCTATATCTTATGAGTTGATAATTTGTAGGTTTGTTAAACTATCTATCTCCTCCCATAGGATGTTTAAGACTTTAAGTACGTGAGCAAATATCTCATTTATAATTTAAAAGAGAAATTAGGTATCATATATTACTTAGATACAAATTTCTATGAAATAAAATGATATGAACTAGTCAAAATTTATAAATTAATTAAATACACGATACCAACATAGTATTGAAAAAGAGCCATGCTTGAGATTGATCTTGACCGACTCACCTCATTAATAAACGAGTCGAGCTCAAACCCTACTCGTTTACTAGGGAGCTAATCCCGAGTTAGGTAAAACTCGGCTCGACTCGGCTCCTAGAAGAACATGGTCACCATGTATAGTATGTCATAATTATAATTCAATTACGACTTAGTGTGATCTCGATTTCAAGATCGACATTCCATCTCAATAGCTCGACTAGTTGAGAGCAAGACCCAAATTAAATTTGAATCTTATATACACAAAATTCCCCGCCCAGGCGCCCACTCATGATAAAAAAAAAACCATCCCAGTTTGAAGTTTGCAATTTTCATACTATCATACAACATAGTTAGTATCTTTGACATTTGAGCACAAAGATCTTTCGATCAAAGCGTGCTACGATATATACTCCGAAAACTCGTTTATCACAATAACTTTGATCGAGTGGCGGGGAGAGGCACATGCATGCATATGTTATCTTGAATCCAGCTTTGACATGACAATATCGTCGTCAAATGCTAGCTAGCTAATTGCCAGTTTACTAGCGTGCTTGATCAGTGTATACGTGGTTCGATTACGACATGAAATAACCGTGAAAACGTCATTAGTGGAAGGGAATTTTGATGACTCTTCTTCCTAGTCTTATCTTTCAGAAGGTTTGGTCTTCCATGATTTAAACACTACCTTAATTAATCATCATCATACTGTTTCCCATCACGCTCAAAATGACGATGCACTTTGTTTGTGGTCCTTATGTTTGACAACAACGTTTTGCTCCTTAATCATAACTTTACTAATTTATGTATAAGTTTCATGAAATTTTTCCTTGCGTTCATACGATTAAAACGAATTTCTCTTCGTATTCACTATTGGACCATCTTGTTTACTATACATGAATACTACAATGCCTCTTAAATGAGAGAATTTTGAGATATTGGTCTGATATGGATATCTTATGAATCTCTATTGATACATATTCTTCTTTTTTTATAATCATTGATACATATTCTTCAATTGAATTGAATGGCACATGACATGTTGAAATTAATCAATTCATGTCCCAAGGAAGGTTTCATCATCTTATATTAATTTAAGAGAAGTAGCAGCCCTTTAACAAACTTTTTGTTGTTATCAAAACAAACTTTCAATTCCTGTGTAAGTTGTAACAATGTACTGATCAAAACAAACTATGTGTTGTTTTAAAAATCGGGTATTAACATATTCCATGCATGTGATAGGTGTGAGTATACAATATGTTTTTCTTATAGATCGAGAGTCTTTAAGCGACAATTGGATCGAATTGTTTAAATGTAGTATAGAAAATTTCTTACTCTGATTAACTTAAAATCGTATTATATTACTTTTGTGTTATCACTTAAAAAAAGATCAGAAACATAAGTAAAATATCAAGACAATCAAAACACAATATATCACTGATCCCAACCCAATTATGTTCATGTATCATCCACATAATGACATAATTATTCGCCCCCATTTCTGATTAATACTTAATCCAAACACACAATCTTATTAATTGTAGCTTATACCCCAACCCATGGATAGACATTTCATATATATATTTTCTAAATAATTAACTGAATATTAATCCATATACATAATTAATATAGGTCCCATGCACACAAATCCACATGTATAATTAATTAATAGTCAACATTCAACTACTATAGTAATTAATTACTAATTAACGTATTCCGCTTTTTACTTACAGTCAAATCAGCTAGAAATTAACTTGTCTGTGCTTTTTCCTCCCCAGCCAAAATCAAAACTCGGCTTGCCTCCATCATCCAATGTATGTATATATATAAAGCTACCATATACCATGAAAGAAACGACGCCGCTTCAGATCACGAGTTCCAGTTCATTCCAGGCAACTGAAACTGCTGCCTCAAAACGACGCCGTCTCCAAGCGCCCCTAGAATCCCTCCCCCGCCGCCGCCGGCCCCCTGATTATACGCCGCCGAATTGCTCTGCTGCGGCGGCAGCTGGTTCAGCAGCGAAACAAACGAAGCACTGCCGTCCTCCATCCCCACGCCGCCGCCTCCACCGCTGTTCAGATCTCCATGGAACCGCTTCCCTCCCGGCGCCGCCGCCTCGCCGCCCATATTGTTCCAGTAGTCGTTGATTATCAGCCCGCGCTTCCCCGCCGCCGACGAGCTGGAGTTCCCGCCCCCGGTTTCTCCCCCAGCTGTATTCATCATCCCGTCGAAGAAATTATCCTCTCCGTCCAGTAAATTAGCGTAGCTAGCACCGCCGCCGCCTGCCTTCCCCTGCTTGTGAGAGTTCGCCGCCGCCGCGGCGGCCAGCATCGCCTCCATTGACGAATCATTACCATGTTGATGTTGATGATGATGCTGATAATCTCTCTGATCAATTGGCCTCTGCGAGTTGTTATTATTCTTCTTGTAAATCCGGCACAACACCCAATCATCCAACTACAAAACAAATTTGATCGTTGATCTCAAAATTCGAAATTTACCAATACATAATTTTGTACCAACATACTATTTCGTGTCAAAATTGGAATAAAATGTTCGCTTTCACTTGTAAATTTCACTTACAAAATTAAAATTACGCGCGAAATGTTACCAACTCTACAATATCACTAGGCTGATTCTTAGAATTATGTAACGTTATACGTACCCTTAGCGACGATTTCTTGGAGGCCGGATCGGAACTCGTTGGAGGCTTGAGAATCGAAGGATTCGAGCAGTTGTTGTTGATGAGTCGATACTCGTGCATGATCCAATTGGTCTTGATCCCTTTCGGCGGCTTCCCGCCATAAAAAACCAGCGCCTTCTTCACCCCGACCTTATGAGCCCCGTTCGAGGTCAAAATCGGCTTGTCGGTTCCGGTCGCCTTCCAGTAACCGGAAGTCGCGGCCCGATTGGGTCGCGCCCCGTTCGGGTACTTCCGGTCCCTCGGGCTGAAAAAGTACCACTCCTGTTCTCCAAAAGTCGCCTTGCCTGTAAAAAATTTTGGCTCATCGAATTATCACTAGACCAAATCCTTTTTACGACGAAAATGAAATGAGGTTGGACTTACTGGGGAGCTCCCAGGGGTCGAACTTGTAGAGGTCGACCTCGGCGATGATGGTGACGGGGAGAGGGATGGAGGCGGCTTTCTTCTTGAGGTAGTGGACGACGAGCTCCTCGTCGGTGGGGTGGAAGCGGAAGCCCGGCGGGAGGTGGGGGTGCGCCGATCCCGACGAGGAATCCGTGCTTTCCATGGTTTGAGTGAGGGGAAAGGGGGAAGAGGTTTGATTTCCAGTTTGTTTGTTTGTTTGCTTGGAAGGTTTTGGGGATGATGACTAGCTATGCAGAAATTTTAGGAAGGGAGGGAGACGGTTTTGTGGGAATTTTGTTTTGCTCACCAATTTATTTGGGGAGAGTTGGGGGGGTTAGTGGGGTTGTTTTTTGGTGCATCCGTTTCTAGAGTAACATGGGAATTGGGAGGAGGTTGGGTGGTGGGTTGGACCGGGTTATTGTAGGCCGTGAAGTAGCGTAGTTCGAAATTTTTTGGGTGATCTGCTACGCGTTGATCATGATTATTTAGAGAATTTATCGTGATTAGTTGATATTGGTTCTCATATATTACGTGATATTGGATGCAATTGATCTACGAATTTGAAATGAAGAGAGAGTCTCTAATTAGTTATTTTGTTGACTTTCATAAGATCTTACTTTCTTACTTCATCATGGCCGTCCGTTTCAGCTAGGAAGATGTTCTTGCTCATGGTGTATCAGAACCCCATTAATCGTCGTACTTCTGATCTAACATGTGCCTCATCGATAAATGCTTATAGTCTATGTAGGACAAGTGTTGTGTATGGCCGCGCTACGCCTGCTCGATTGATAGACAATTAACTAGGTGAGAAGGGTTGACTTTGAATCTTATCTCGTGATGTGAGGAGTCGATACAAAACAAAGGATTCAATTGTTTAAGTGATGGGTACAATCTTGATTGAATCTGTAGAATTTGGAAGTTATGTAAGATTTTACAAAATCTTATTCAACATAACTCGAATTTAGATTTCTCGGGTGATAATTAAGGCAATGCAAACCCATTAAAATTTTGAGTTCTCACTCTACTGGAGCACGGCGAGTCTGGACCAAATCGATTCGGTTGAGTCAGAAACCAACGATGGCGATGATCGTTTGGAAGTGGGTTCGGGATTTTCGAATTGATCATCGATGACACATGGCTAGCGGGGTGGGATGTACACGTGGCATGGAAATGGGGAGTGCATGGTGGGGACCAGCTTTGGGGTGGGGGGAGCAGTGGGTCCTGAAAATGAGGGAGGGGAGGAGGGGAATTAAGGGAAGGTTAAGGAGAATTGGAACTGCCTTGTACGCATTGTCATGTCATGCTTTCCTTATGTAATGCAAAGTTTGCACCTTTTCTCTCCTTAGCTTCTCTTCACCTTACTCATAACTCACAACTCAACAAACGCGCTTCCACTCCTTAATGACACCACTCAATGCATCTACCATTAGTCCATTACCATATGAGATAACACTCAGAACAACCTAAGAATAGTAAGGGTCATATTTGGCCAGATACTTTAGTATTTAACTATTTACATTTGACCCAAGATAAGTCGAGTACACGTTGGATAATTTACTTTTGAGCTGCGAGTCCGGGGTAGATCGACTCGTTCAAACATACACTTCCAACTTCAAATGGAATTAAAGACTCAATTTTGTGTTCTCATGTTCGTCCCGCCTCAAAACTGATCGGTTAAAACGAATCGGGTCGAAATATTTGTCATCTATATAACAATAATTAACTCAACACCCCACTAAAACTTGATAGAAATTCCAAATGTGTTCATGCCACCATTTTTCTTAACATAACAGTGAACTAGCTAAACGATCCGTCTGTTTCGATTCTCACAGTTTAGTGGTGGACGAACCAAAGGAAGTCTATGAGTATTTGGTAACCATATGTCCATATCCATGTGCATAGTATCAGTCTCGCTAAGTCAGCCAGCTATCTCCCAACAATATTACAATGCGTAACTACGTATATAAATATTAGAGTAGTAATTAGTTGTAATGCTTTCCTCGACGGTTTCAGTTTCGTCTCTCGCAAAAAAAAGGTTGTCTAGGCTTTCTATCTTTCGTTCTTTCCAGCTAGCCGTCGATCCGACCAGATGGCGGCTGATCGATCAGTTTACTTGATATTTGACGTACGTTACGTAGACTTGTATATTGAGAGTACGACGTTCTTTTCAAACAGCTAGGAAGACACCTGTCTCAGTTCCATAATTTGATCATAGTACTACTCTCTCAGCCCATGTCATTATGATGTTCTTCACATCGGTACTATTTCACAAAATTTGGGTCCCAATTTGAGTTTGTTTTGAACTATCTTTTCCCTTGTGATATGTGAAGAGGTGCCGCGATGTCTTAAAATTGTATAAACGTTTAAATGTTGACCATATAGTGTATGCAGCAAAGATTGATATATGTGAATATGAAAAAATTGACATATCTCTATCATTATCTTGTCAATTCCATGAATAAGTTTCTGAAAAACTCTTTCATGTTGGTAAGTTGGTGGAGGTTTTGATTTCGGATTGGAATTATGGATGGTAGATAAAAATAAATTGTTGGCTAGTTTGTGGTTTTAACCTGAACTTTATCAGCTAGATTAATTAAAAAAAATAGAAAGTATCAATGATTTAGAATTTTAGTTCATCTGGGCACTTTGTACGTGCTCGAACGTTAGTGATTGATACAATAATCATTTAATATTTTTATTATGTTAAATTTAGGATGACCACACCGTCTTCATCAACTACAAAACGAACATTTACGAAATGTACGTCATTCATATGCTCTAGTGAGTCGAACATCTGATCGATCTCTTCCTGGCCAAGAGATAAGGCAAGCAACCACATCACACACCGCCTCTTGATCGAATCCGATTTAGTTACAGTTCTACCACAATTAGTGGTATTCCATTTTCAAACATAGCTAGTGTAACAAGCTTATAGGCTTTTGAAAAGCCAATAGAGAAAGGATATGCAAATTTCTGTGATAAAAACGGATATGGTGGAAGGCTGCTAGATTTTTGCTCTTCCTTTTAGGCACCAATATGAAACATTGAAGATGAACCATTGAGAGAGGGGAAGGTGCCGTGGTTTCTGTCCAAACCCTAACTTTATCAAAAGCTGAGAGTGGTCACTGAATTGGGCCATTATGTATTTCCATTTTTGGGTTACCTTGAAGATATAAATTCATCCACTTTCCTCCTCAATTTGATTTTGCTCATTCTAGCTTCAAGCATTTTATGCATATTCTCATCATAAAGAAAATTTTCCCGGTATGGCCAAACTTTTAGGCCATCAAGCTGACTTTTGAACAAAATGCAATGCTCCCACTTTACACATAGTTATCCATAAATCAGATTTTGAACTTCTAATGGGTGGATTTCCATTTAAACTTGTTTGATTCACCTTCCTCTCCTATATTCTGAAAGGGTTTTAGAAAAAATTTCCTAAAAAAAATTGAATATGTGATTTTCTATCAACTTTCCTTCCGCCTTCTTTGAATCCAGGGGTTTAAGATAACTTTCTCTTAGTCGAACTTAATCTCCTCTATTTTCTCTCATTCGATTAACCTTTCCCCAAAATTGGCGAAATCTTTGACATGCAATCTAGATATATCATCTTTCATATTCTCGAGGCTAACAAAAGGGTTTTACTAAAGTAATCTCCAATCGAGTCGAACTAGAGCCTCTCACAAATTCTCAATTCAACATTCCCCTATTGGTACACCTTCCTCGAAAAGTACGGAAAAAGAGGTTACCGTGTTCGGGCGAGGCAAGATCATGAAGTGGATCTTTCTGACACATGAAGCTATGTCCAGGATGTGGCAAACATAGCAAGAGAGAGAGGGCATCTGGATATGGCTGCAAATGTAGTAATGTATGGCAATTGGCCTCATGACTTGTGGCTATCATAGCAGGTAAAGATCTCCATTTTTCCTCCTATAAAATCCTTAGCCAAATCAGGAGGCTACACAACTAAACCTAGATGGTGGAGACAGAAATATTTCTCCAAGGAAAAAAAGGCCCTACCCCTTTCAGCTAACAAATCAAGAGAGCCAACTCAGTTGTTGGTTTGGTTTAGGACAAGTGGGTTGGGGGTTAGCCCGTGAACATTACATGCTGTGTTTCTAGTTTATGCATAAAGAAGCACCATTCATTCCTTCTGTATCATTTAAATCAACTGGGACAGACAACACATTTGCATCCTGTACCAGAACAAAACAAACCTGTAACTAGTCTAAAGCAGTGGTTCAGAATTTGATGTGCCCCACGGCCTCTTCCCCACTACTATTAATGAATAATAATGCTTATTGATTGAAATCGTAATTTTGACTATCGTTTCCCGCATTCAGTTTTGAAAATGGTGCATTTTTCACTAGGGTTCTTCCCCCCTACTATTAACCGTCTATTTAACCACAATGTAAGATAGACCTGCACATCTTCAAGTTCCATGCAACCTACCATTCTGAACAATTGGGACGAGCTCAAATCTTATATGCTTTTCTATGTCGAGAAGACTGTGTGTTTAAATTTTAGTAAACCCTTGATATTAACATCGTCTTCTGACATTTTCAAAACAACTCGAGTTATCAAGACATATTAAATACTGACAAGCTATTAGAGCTTCTGAGGAATGAAGAAGCTGATGCAGGCAAAATCATCATGACTCTTTATAATTATATCACGTTTTTTTTTAAGCACATGATTCGAAGATCTTAAGTCAACTTCAAACTCAGTGTACAAACTTTCGGTCGAGGTACATATCAGAGAATAATACAATATGTATCTCTCTTACCAACTCGAACTATATGAGATCCCAAGAAATAAACAAAGCCTAGTAACCGAGTTAGGCATGCAACTATTTGCCTATGTCGGGTTTGAGTTCAAGCAGTTCAATGTGCCCTCTCAATGGCGTTTTCTAAAAGCTGAAGTATTTCCCCTAAAACATTCAAACGTGGCAAAGAAGTAAGAACATAACTTTCTGCTAAAAATGCTAGGAGTCGATCACTTGCCTTCATCTTGGTGGGGCTGAGTATATGCACATCTTGCAAGCATGGGGAGGGAGCCAGGCACACGTGCGGCTAGTCCATATTGGGTGCCCATAGACACAAAGTTAAGCTGCAAAAAAAAAAAAAAAAAAAAACCCAAGTTGTGTCAATGTACAATGCAGGAAGAGAATAGACAAAGATGATAACATAGTAAGGTACACAGTGCTCACGTACAGCCCACAAGTCTCCCGGAGTATTTGAAGTAGGAAAATCCGCTACTTCATCAGCGCCAAATGTATTCATCTGTTAAGTTAGCCACTGAAAGGACAGCAGCGGAAAGTCAATCGTACTTCACGAAGAGCACTAATTCATCCATCTAACTTTCTACACTTGTTCTTCCCTGTAATTTCTTCATGAGTAACCTCTGTCCACTCTACTTCTGACAAAGCTACTTCCCCTAACTTTCCTCACATTTTGGTTAAGCATGAGCTTCCTCACTCTTTCAGCATCCTCCCATTTCTCATTCAGAACATATAAATCACATATCTGAGTGTAAACCCCTCCGTCAGTCTCCGGCTTTATGACCGTCAGCACCTGCTCTATCACTTTCTCAACCATGTCGAACCGGTTGTGCTCCTTACAAGCTGACAGAAATGAGCCCCAAACAGTAGCATTCGGTTCGAGTTTCATCCTCTTGATAACACCGAAAGCTTCTTCCACCAGCCCCGCCCTGCCATAAATATCGACCATGCACCCATAGTGTTGTATCTTATACTCCAAACCATACTCTTCAATCATGTTGAAGTACCTTCGCCCAGCTCCCACCATTCCCGTGTGAGCACAAGCATGAAGAACCCCCGTGAAAGTCATCTCATTGGGTTGAACACCTTCTTCTTTCATCATCTCGAACAAAGCCAATGCTTCTTCACTACATCCATGCCTAGCTGCTCCACTTATCAATGCAGTCCAAGCTATAACGTTCTTTTCCTTCATTGCAGAAAAAACCAGGCAAGCATACTTGAAGACCCCGCACTTGGCATACATGTCCACAAGAACGGTATCATATTCCACATTCATCTTCAACAAATAACCATGAACCGATCTCCCAACTAATGATCCAGGAGAACCCATTTGGGCGCAACAAGATAAAACAGTTGACAAAGTTATCTTATCCGGCTTAATCAACAGCCCATCCTTCCCCGCCACCATCATCTCACGAAATAGAGACAAACCTTTTAGCCAGCGCCCACTGTGAACATAAGCAGTTATCATAGCAGACCAGGAATCGACGTTCCTCTGCGGCATATCTTCAAACACGTCCCGTGCCTTATCGACGTCCCCTGACCTGGCATACCCTGTAATCATAACGTTCCAGGTGACAGCGGTTCTGTCAGGCATTTCATCGAGCAACAAGCGAGCATCAGGAAACGATGTAGCTACATACGCAGAGAGAAGGCAAGTGGCGATATAAACATTGCTACCGAAGCCTAGCCTGATGACATGGGCGTGGAAGTGGCGAACGATGAGCGTGTCTTTCATACTGGCCGCTGATTTCAGGGCGAACAGTAAGGCGTAGCTGTCGAGCTTGAATGAACACTGGCGGTGCATTTTGCAGTAGATCCCCAAGCCATCGCGAGGGGAGGAGGAAGAAGCCTGCTGGATGGCTGCAGCTGAAGATCCTGATTTGGAGAAGGGTTTCCCGGTAACGAGGCAGCGGTGGTGGCGCCGTGAGGATTTGACGACGGGGTCGACCAGGCGCCTGACCGTAAGTAGCATCGCTTTATCCCATTAACACCAAGGCGATAGTTAACGACTGAAACAGATCGGAAAGTGAAGTCGCGACGACAGATCGCCGCCTCATCTCCCTAGCAAGAAGAGCCTGCGAGCCAAGCCACCCACGGTGGCGGTGGCAGCGGCGGCGGCGGGATGCTCAACTTCAGTCAGCCCGCGCCAACGAAAGACCCCCTGTCGTCGGTGGATACTCTGTTTTCTTCTTCCCTTCATACAGAAGGGACGGGCTTGCGTAACGGTGCTGGATATGTGGGCCTAAACATATGGGTTTGGGCTGATCGTGATTATACTAGACAGATTGGGCTTTATGACAAAGGGCTTTTCTTCCAAGGGGCTTGACAATTACTCGATCCCTCATCGAGTTGAACAAGATCATGTTTTTGTTTTTTAGAAATCAAATCATGTATCAAATAAATCCAAATAAAACAAAATTAATTATCATTAATGACTTTAAATTCTATTTGTTTAGGAGGACTTGGAGTTCGGCTTACCAGAATGACCAATCAAGCAATGTTGGAATGAGGAATTGGAGTTGGAGTTCGGCTTACTAGGAGGACTTGGAGTTCGGCTTACCAGAATCCTCCACAATTTCAAGAACAGAAGAACCAGTGGTAATTGGGATATGATGATGAAGCTTGACATGAGGAAAGCTTTTGATCTTGTTGACTGTGACTGTCTGGAGGCCATCCTCCAAGCTTACGGTTTTGATGGGAAATGGAGAGGTTGGGTCAGCCAATGTATCCGTACTGTTAGCTTCTCTGTCTTGCTCAATGGTAATCCCACATAGTACTTCTCCCCTACAAGAGGAATTCGCCAGGGAGACCCGCTTTCCCCTTTCCTCTTCATCATTATGTCTAATGCCCTCTCTTTCCTCATCGAAAAAGGAGTTCAAAAGGGTGATATCCAAGGCATTAAGCTCAACCAAAATTGTCCGACAGTTTCTCATTGTCTCTTTGCGGACGACACGGTTATTTTTGGAAAAGCTAGCATGAGAGAAGCTATACATATCATGTATATCCTGAAAGCCTATGGGAGTATCACTGGTCAAGAAATTAATGTCTCTAAATCATCCATCTTCTTCAGCAAGAATACTCCACAAGGCATCAAGGATCTTATCACTTCTCAATGTGGTTTTCCTCCCTCGATCAATCATGATAAATACCTGGGAGTACCTTCTGATTGGGGAAGATAAAAAAAAAAAAGAGACTTTCTCATTCCTTATTGAGAGGATGGAAAAGAAGGGGGACTCTTGGAAAAGCCTGCTCCTCTCGCCTGGGGGAAAGGAAGTCTTACTTAAAGCTGTTCTCCAAGCTATTCCTACGTTCATCATGAGTGTTTTTCTCCTTCCCCGTTCTATCACTAACAAAATGGACTCTATTCTAAAGAGATTTTTTTGGGCAGGTTCCATGCGGAAGAAAACAATTCATTGGTGCGACGCGAAAGTCCTCGAAATGCCTAAAGAGGTAGGTGGATTGGGTTTTAAGAACTTTCATCTTTTTAACTTGGCTTTGCTTGGCAAACAGGTTTGGCGCATTATGGAAAATCAAGATGCTCTCTGGGTGAAATTGTTAAGGGGCCTCTATTTCCCGGATGGAGATTTTCTCTCAGCCAAGAAAGAGAGACGCGGCTCTTGGGTGTGGAACGGCTTATGTGATGCTAAAGATGTCCTTAAAGGAGGAATGATCCGAGTGATCATGTCTGGAGAAGATACCAACTTTCATCGAGATCCTTGGATCCCTGCCCTCCCCTCTCACTCGTTATCTAGCCTCAACCTCCCCCCGTCGCAAGTCAGTAACTGGATTCACCTGAATGAGAGAACATGGGATGTGGAGGCCCTTCGGAATGTTTGTTCCGAAGATGTCATGGAGGCGATCAGTCGTGTCCCAATTGGACATGCGGAGTCAAAGGACGGCTGGGCATGGAAACATACATCTAATGGAAATTTTACTGTCCGATCAGCCTACCATGTTCTTCGTGAAAGCCGGGACCAACAAACTTCTTCACCGCCACCCATGAATAATCAACCTGCCAGCAACAATTGGAAGTGGCTCTGGTCATTGGCACTCCCACCAAAAATTCGTTTCTTTATATGGAAATGCTCTAAAAGAGCCATTGCTACAAGGGAAAGACTTTTCTCAAGGTCTTGTGCACCAAGCCCAAATTGTCCCATCTGTGACGCGCCAGAGACGATTTTGCACAGCCTCTTTCACTGTCAGCATGCGTCGGAGACTTGGCATCTCTCAGGATTGATTGCCCCTCCCCCTCAAGATGCCTCCTTCGCCTCTTGGTTCTTCAACCTGAAGGACACCCACACTGACGCTCATGTTTGCAAGATTGCATACCACCTTTGGAATATTTGGCTTGCCCGGAACGCTTTCATCTTCGACAACATGGCTCCTTCCCCGGCCTCATCTGCAATTAAGTCGGGTCGAGACTTCATGGAATGGGAGGAATCGCGGACTTCTCCTGCTCTTTCCTCTTCTTTCCAACCGACTCTATTGCACCCTCAGCCTAGGGGTTCCCGTTCCAACACCACACCACTGCCGTTCTCTCGAGTGATGTACTGTGATGGGTCGTTTGTTTCCGACTCGAGATTGGCGGCTTATGGGATTACTTTTGTCAATTCTCATGGTCAGGTGTACGACGGCAAGGCTGAGACTTTCCTGTGTTCGCATCCGATTCAGGCTGAAGCCCTTGGTCTCCTCAACGCCATCCTGCTTGCGGTTCATGATGGGATTCCAACCTGCATTCGTACGGATTGCCAAGTGCTTTCTCTTGCTCTCAATCAGGACTCCTCGGCATGGCCATGGCATTTTCGAGCTACCATTGCTCAGATGTCTCTCCTTCTTCGGTCTGCTCCTTGGATCCGGATTGAGTTCGTACCCCGACGGCTTAACCGACTTGCAGATTGGGTTGCTCGCCAAGCTAGGGAAGCTTCGTTACCTTTGGAATGGATCTTAATTGTTAATATTATTGCACCATTGTTGTAACGAACATTTGGGACCTTTTCGGATGAAATACAAGAATTCTCTGATTGTCAAAAAAAAAAAAAAAACTATCAAGAGATATACAACTATCGAATTAGTTCACATTTTTTTTGTATATTTCAGATGGCATGGAATGTGCCTGACAGCCATCTGTTGGCCTGCTTCAAAACATGGCAGAGAGCAGGAGTTCATTCTTTACTTGGTCTTTGGTGGGCTGAGGATGTACATCTTGCAAGCATGGGGAGCCACACGCGCTGTTATTCCATATTGCTTACCCATTGACACAAATTTATGCTGCAAAAATACCAAAGAAGGATCAAATCCACGTCGAGAAATGTACAGATACGAGGGGGATGATCATAATTCATAAAACAGTAGTGTTTACTTACAGCCCACAAGTCCCTAACAATGACAGGAGTGTTTGGAGAAAGGCCAATTTCCTTCCACCTGACAGAGATGCTAGCCTCAGACTTACTCCTGTTCCATAAAACTACCACCGCCCTTTTCCCTGCCAATGGCCCTGCCCAAATCTGCACATCACAAGTTATTAGAAGAAGCATTCATTGCCCTTTTAAACGAATCCAATTTGGGATTTCGACTGCATTGGATTGTACCTCTAGGCCTCCATTTGATCTAATTTTCCTGCCTTGAACTCCCAGAGGGTCTTGATTCACCTTGATGACCTCCTTGTTTCCGAGAATCCTCAGTGTACTTGTACCAGCAGCTCGTACATCGCAGCCAATCAGCAGTGGAGCCTGTTATAGTTCAGGTTTCTTTCACTCCAAGTAAGTTCAAGCAGAACAAAAAGTGATGTATGGGATGAAGTTTGTGATAAAAAAATAAGGACAGACTTTCATTAGAGCCCAGATGCTGAAATGAGACCGGTATTCCTCCATGGTCATCCCTCCATTGCCCACTTCCAACATATCAGGATCTAGAACGAGACAAAGAAAAAAACCCAGCTCAGCAACTGTAAATAGATGGCAGAGAACCCAGCATCCATTAACTAGGGATTCAATAGAGTTTGTTATCAGTTACCATTCCATCTTCCAGGCCCGGCATATCTTCCCCAGATGTTGTTTTGGTCGGCAATCGATGTAATGCTGCAATAATGAAGTTCACCACATTCAGTTCACCATTTTTGCAGTCTAGAAAAATGAAATTTAGAGTCGATGAGAAGACCTTCCCCAGGTGTCATTAATATCACCGGTGGTCCTCCAAGCATTACCATATCGACCAGCCCATTTGGCAGGGTCTTCTTGTCCCCTGTCAAAACATTGGGTTGAAAGTGTTGGTACAACTCCAGTTCTTGTAAGCAGAGGTATTCACTCAATTCAAGGGCTTTACCATTCACATATGGAGTAAAGGATTGGGCGGCCAACCTTGAGCAAAGCAGAACTCATCTTTGCATACCTATTCCACAAACAAAACTATCACAACTCACAAGGGATTACAATATAATGCCAGTGTGTACGTGCCTAAATGGTTACTACAGAACGTGCTTGTAACAGAACGAACAACAGATTAGAGCAAATGAGACACACTGGCTGTTTTTTATTAGTTTAGCTAGACTTTCTTCACGATTTTTTCTTTAGCGACCATTATGTTACAAACTCCAGTGTTTAGTGACCATTAAGACACTGAACTAATGCTTAATGTGAAACTTAGCAGAATGTAGTTCAAGTAGAGATGTAACTACTGAATTTAACTTGTCAAAACACTTCTTGGATATGCACATACACATAAGGTACCTGATATGAGGTTTGGAACCATCATGGTAGCAGTTATCATACTTCAAGTAGTCAACCCCCTGGTATATACATACATTAACTGCAGTGTAAACCTCCCTTATTTGAATAATGAATCAACCAAAACTCAGCTGACCTTAATAAGACACACTAACCCATTCAGCAAAGGTTCTCGCGTCTTGCTCCTCATAATCAAGAGAGCCAGGCATTTTCTTGCTGCAGGTTCTGAAGCTGTGAAAAAGTGAAAACATGGAGTCTCTTGAGTTAAACGTAATAAGAGCATGGCAAAAGAAAGACAAAAAGGTTATTTACCCTGCATCAGAATATATGCCAAGTTTAAGGCCTTTGGCATGCACATAATCAGCTAGGGCCTTGATCCCGGAAGGGAAAGTGGATGCTTTCGCGTTTAAGTTACCCTTTTTGTCCCTTTCCAGTTCACCCCAGCAATCATCTAACCATGAACCGAATGGAAGCTTTAGTGACAAGCTACTGATGGCAAGACTGTATAATATACATTTCACTTCAGTGAGTAAGAAAATTTTGATACCGATGTTGACATATCTGTATCCAAGAGCAGCCAAACCAGTTGAAACCAACGCATCAGCTGTTCCCCAGAATTAAACACAAGTCGATGAAAGGTCAACAACAAACATAACATGACAATATCAACAATTCCCATCATCGCATGATTATTAGTTAACTTTGGTCCATTCCATCTCAAATCTGAAAACTTTCAAACTTCCGACATCAGACAAGTCCAACAAAAAGTCCAATGACATGCTGCTGAATGTTTGATCTCTGAACAATAAAACCCCTCAATATGAACTGGGATGTTGTTGGACCAACATTGGTCCATTCAAATTACCCTCCATCCAAAGCAATTGGACTAGTTCTTCTTCTTCTTCTTTCAACAGAATAAAGTAATACCCTTAAACTTAGCCATGCTTAGATCAAGGAGGGGTCAAGAGACCACTAATACATACAGTACGGCAGAGGCATTATTCAATTCATAAATCAAGGAACTCACACATTAAACTACATTATATTAGATGCAAAATGTGCACTTTAACGCCCAAAAGGAACTTTGAACTGCAATTGAAAGCTTGTTCAATGCAAAGACTATTCAAAAGCAGAAAGTTTGAACCTTTGAAATCTAGTCTCCCCAAATGAGGAAACTCGCTTGAAGAATTTTTAGTCAAATGCAATTTTGACTTCAAAGTACAGCTGCAGAATTTAGCTGTAAATTCTCAATTGAACCCAAACCACAACCGCTTCAAACAGCTCGTGGGTGGGTGGCAAAACTAGTCAAGAAGCAGGCACTCCCAGTTGAAAGATTCAAAGATTGTGAGAAAATTGCACGACTTCTCAATAACAAACTTAGTAAAAGCTCATGAATTTAAGAGTTCTGAGTAGAGAACAATGCAGTCAAAAGCGTGATTCCACGTAGAAGCGTCTTGGTGATCTAGAAGCGTAAAATCGTAAGTTTTTAAGCTTTAAAGCGTAGATTTTGACTACAGTTATAACTTAAAATCCTGATTTTATGTAGAAGCGTTTTGGTGACAAAGAAATGTAAAAGCGTAAGATTTTAAGTTTTAAAGCGCGATTTTGACTGCATTGGTAGAGAATGGGGGGAAAGAATGTACGGACCGGTGGATTTAACCATATCCTCGTCCACATTGCACTGGAAATGGTTCCAGCTATTCCAGCTGCAATATAGAGAAAGATTCAAACTTTTGACATGGGTCTGGGAGAAAATAGGAAACCAAGGAGGAGGAAAACAGGGGTTTGGGTTGAATTTCTTTTGTCATAGTTTGAGTTTACCCCATTGGCGGCGTGCGAGCAACGCCGTTAGCAAGAAGGAACTGGGTGTATTTCTTGTGATCGCCATTGATGCTGCTGTAATTGGCCAAACCCACCGCGCAGAGGAAATCAACTGCATTGAGAAGAAGGATGAGAAGGGTAGCGGTGGCGGCGTAGTGGCTCTTCATGTTTCTGAATGAATTGGAAACAGGGGAATCCTTTGGCGAGAAAGAAACTGGGGAAATGGAGACGGAAACGGAAACGGAAACGGAGCGAGGTAGTTTGTCGCTTGTCGGTGCGAAGACAAATTTTCCGGTTGAGCTCTTTTGGCTTTGCGCTTAAAGATGAAAAAGAGCAAAATAATCATTACCAAAGAACAAAGTATTATATTTCGCCCCTACACTTAGATATTTTTACAATTACAACCCCCAAACTTTTTTCCTTATCGAATCATCATTGCACCAAACTAATAATAGTTCACAGTAGAGATTAAAAAATTACCTAAATTATCTCTGAAAAATGACTCACAAAAGAAGTAAGATTCATACATTGTAGTTAGAATTACAATTTGATACATGGTAAAATCCAACGTGAGAAATTTAATATATTGTATTTCAAAGATTAAGTGGAGTGCGAAATTAACTTTCGTTTTATTGATATCAAAGATCGTAATAGACTCTGACTAATGGCTATTAAGTACTAATCCTCCAACCCATACAAATAGACCAAGGATATTTTATCATCAAATCAATCAAATTTCAACGTCTTCGATCCTTGGCGGGGGCCTTGAATCTTGATTAAGTTGTTTGTTTGTTTTCATGTTTCTAGCTGATAAGATCGAAGCTAGCTAGCATAGAAAAATGAAAGACGAGTGAATCAATGTAATCAAACCACTTCTTCTTCTAACCGAAACTTCCATCCCAAATTCCCCCATGCAAGGATTGGATCGACGCATGAAAGTTTCGCCAAAACTTCTTGGTAGTTTTCTTAAATCTCTTCAACGCGCATGTAGGGTTTTTGTTTGTGAACAGATTTATTTTATATATCACTCGGAAATATAATTCAACATCTCTCAACAAGTAGAGTTATTAGAACTACTCGGAAATATAATCGAACCTTTCTCAACAAGTATAGTTATTAGAATTTATTGGTTATTTGATATGATATAAGAGCATTCTGTCACCAAAAGGTTCTCTGTTCAAATCACGATTACCTCAATTTGTTAAACACATGGTATTCATTACATGTGCAAACTTCAAGCCCGTATATGGTGACATTCGTTTGATGGGGTGTAGTAGTAAGTAATATATGATCCAAACGGTGATTGACAAACGTATGTGTCAACATAGATCTTTAATTGTGTCACAACCTGCAAAATAATTTTAGAGTGTCATACTCAAGCTAACAACGTAAACATGTGCACGTCACTGGTTCGTAAATGTTTCACGATTTCAGTTTTCAAATGTACATGGGCAGTGGCAGAGCATTGCATACACTGTGACAAATTGATATACATAATTAGAAATGAACTAGGTTTACAAATGAATTTTTTTGAATAGTGATTAGATTATGACAGTTGGATAAATTTTAATATCTCCTTTCCTTTTTTTCAATTAACAAAGAAATGAATTAATTATCAACCTATCTATGTAATGTACCAACAAATTAATCAAATTTTGTCTAAAAAAGAACGAATCGAATGCATGCATTGCATGCAAACTCCTTATTCTGTCAATAAAAGAATTTCTCGTCATTTTTAACATTAATTTACTGGACTTCGTCCGTTCGATCGTTCGCCGGTGTCAAATATCAACGGCGGCGATTCATCATCTTCTGCACAATATATTTACGGTTCTTGTCGGAGTACCCAAGCTGACGGTGGCGGCCGCCTCCTTCCACCTCCATCAAGTTCTTCAACACGGCGTCCGTCGCCGTCCTCATAAATTCCGACCAGTCCCTGATTTTCCACAACAACACACAACATTATTCATCAAACTCAAATAAAAGAACGCGTAAATGTTAATAAGCGGTGTATGATCCAAAATCGAACATCTCTCAACGACTTTTAACATTATTCTGCACAATATATTTAATGACCGTCATATGATTCATATTCGAACCTCCCAAACAATTCGAGTTATTATGACGAAAACTGGTTCTTAATAGTTAATACGATCGAAATATAATAATTAAGCGGTGATATAAGATGAGTAGTACCCTGAATGAGTGTCGAATGCGAGACCAACGGTGTACTTGGCCTCCTCGAGCGCGCGGGTGAACCGCCGGAGCTCCGTCGACGGGCAGTCGCCAAAGTCCTTAACAAAAAGCTCCGACGGTTTCACGTCGCAGAAAATGGGGACGACCCGCTTCCTCGACTCCATCATCAGCGCCAGCTCGTGGAGGCAGAAGTAGGAGTCGCAGTACCGCGGCGAAAACACGGCGACGCCGACTTTGCACCGCCGGATCGCCGCCTCGATGTTGTCGAAGAGCCGGTCGCCGGGCTTCATGTTCTTGCTGTCGAGGAACGAGTTGACCCGGAGCCCCGCCGACAGGTGGTCGTACAGCAGCCCCGACACCGTCCTCTTGGTGTCGATCCCGCGGTGGTTGATGAAAACGTCGACGTTCGGCACCACCACGTGGCTCCGTCGCATTAGGCCACGGTAAGCTGACGACGAGGCCTTGGCTATGGCGCTAGAGTAACGCTGCATGGCCGCTTTGGGAGGGAAAAAATGGGGAATAGTTTTGGGTTGATTAGAAGGGTGATTAATGACGTTAATTGCTTTGGTTAATATGGGTTGTGATTGAAAGAATAATTAAGTGTCTTGAAGTAGAAGGGATTAACGGTATTTATAGAATGAAATGTAAGGGAAAAAGAAATTTTGTATAAGTCGTAAGTTTTGGAGGGTTGGACCCGGATGGTGATGAAGGAGGATTATATTTCGAGGAAAAAAAGATTTGTATGAGTCTAAGTAGAGAGAGAGGGGGGAATTGAATATTTTGACTCTTTGTGTAGGAGGGTGCAAAATGGGAGAATAATCCTTCAAACACGTTTGGTAAATAAAAGTAATAGTTCCTTGCTACCAAAGGGAAAAAAGAAAAGGAAGTAATACATAGCTAGCTAGCTAGTAAATTCATGTGAAGATTGATAGTTTATGAACATTTTTATTAGTATTTAGAATGCAATTCTATATTATTTTAACCATTAAAATTAAGTTGTGACATTTATATTACTATGAAAACTTAACCATCCCTCTACCATTTTTCATTTATTTCTCTCCTTTACGGTAATTACATTATCAAACATGCTTCTCTATCTTAAGTTTGCATTAATATAATTTGCAATAACAAGGGTGAAAAATCAATATGAAATTATTGAAATGCAGCTATGGTGGTGACAGAATGAATTTTTTTTTATTTTTATACTCCTGTTATAGTATTTTTTTCGTACAAATGACTCGTGACAGAGTTTGATCATTTTCGATGTGTCAGATCATAGTTTGATCGTAGAGTTAATTATATTGGATGGAATATTTAATAAAGTGGTATGTTTAATAATATAATTATCACAATATTGAAAATAAATGAAACACATATTTGATAAGATTATACAGTAGAAGAAGAGCAAAATCTCTATCCAATAAAATAAGTAAACTCTTTTCCTTGGCTGAAACAGTCCAGTTTGGAATTTCTTTCCTTAGTCTCGATGTTTTTTTCTTTTTTGCCAGACTTTGTCTCCAAGGTCTTTACTAATATTCAGTATTCACAAATTAAAATATAGAGTAACAAAATGGTGAGCGAAATACCAGACTTTTGAACCTTCACTTTTGATTCACTAGTATAAAATATTCTGTTTTTTATGAATAAATATACCATATATTATTCTGTCTATTAATTTACATTGATTTAGCGATGGTTGAAGTCCAATGTGTTCAACTTTCTGAATGATAGTTATGATACAAACATTCTCAGGGTGGCCACACAACTTCGATAATAACTCGATCGAGTTAGTGAGATTAGTTAAAGGTTTGGTTATGTATGTCCGTGATATGAAAGTAATTGTTCTTTTTTACTATATTATCATTCTATCAATTTGTACATATTGTTCTCTTTAGACCAAGTCCCGTTTTTGGTATCATCCCAAAATGTCTCGTACGTCATATCAATGAGTTTAATGTACACTAATATATAAGGATAATTTCTCTTTTATTTTCAATGTGGAACAATCCTTCCCTCAAGACAGAGGCCACAAACTTTGTGTCATTTCCTCAACGATTATCTTGATCAGCCAGAAATCTTGTATCAACAAGCTCTTCGACACAAGGATTTACCTAATGTATATCGCCACTGATACGACGAACAGACACAGATCTTCCCCGATCTGCCAAACAGACGCATATCTCATCAAATCTCAAAACCACCGAATGATGGTCTCACCAAACTATCATCCACTATCCTAGATCAAAACTGAGCTCTGATATCATTTGTTGATATTGCGTGGCTCGTTAGTACGATATTGTTCGCTTTGAACCATGCCCGCACAGATGTACTCTTGGCTTCTTTCCCAAAAGGATTGATACTAATTGGGATAGGTGGTCACTAATATACAAGAGAGTCTTCCCATGTATTTTCTATGTGGTACTTGGACTGTACTCTAACAATCATCCCCTCAATACAAGGACCACGAACTTACTTGATCTGCCAAACAAACGTAGCTTTCAAATCCAAAGATCATCGAATTAGGGTCCACCGACCTGATTCCAAACTCCAAAACCAAGCTCTAATACCACTTTTGAAAATCGGGTAGCTACTTTAGTACGACGTTGTCCGCTTTGGGTCAAGCCTGCACGGATTTACTTTTGGGTATCCTCCCCAAAAAGTCTCGTACTAATGAGTTTGGTGAACACTAATATACAAAATCATTCCCCTTGTATTTCCGATGTGGTTAGTTGGATTGTCTCATAACCGCTACTAAATAGTCACATATCTCTATCAATTGGCTATATAATGGTACTTGATCAATTGTTATAGCAAGGTGATTGAGAAAACTATTTGCTCCTCAAAATTCCAGCTCCATCGATCTCTGATCATCCATGGCGGATCTTTCCAACCAAACTGCGAGGAAACTTCATTGTTAACTAAATAATGTCCATGCACTACGGGAAAAAGAGTCTCTTGCAACACTTGGATTGCAACACTATTTGAAAGTGTTGCGTTAAATATATAATAACAACACTTTATTTAGGGGTTGCGTATTGAACCGTTTACGCAACTCAAATTTATTTTATGTTGCATTTGCTATATTTATGCGTCACTTATACCATAAATGATTTATGGGTTGCCTATTTATGTAGTTTAAGCAACGGTTTAATAAACTGTGAGTTGCAAAAAATTCATTCAACTAAATACTCACGAATAATACGATTATTCTTTATATATAATTATCTTGCTAATATAAAGAAACTAAAAAAGATAAATCCAAATATTAAGTTAAGTGAAGATCTGGTGTGATTACGTTCCCTTATCTAAATTACCTAATATATATGTTCCCTTCCTAATGTAAAGCACTGAAGTCTACCCCTTCCCATTCTTCTTATAATAATAATTAATATTACCCAAGCCCTAGCCATTTAATTTCCACACCGGCAAAGGTAGAAACCCTCGCCGATTACAAAAGCCATTTGTCTTTCAGTCGGAAATCCCAATCGGCATCCCTTCCTCTCCTCTTTTGTAGTTGCCAGTCAATCTCCGAGGAATTCTCATCGGCCATGTCACATGATTCTCCGATAAGCTCATCGTCGTCAGCCTGCCTCTCTCCCAGTATCATATTTGGAGTACGATACTTAGCAATTGGTTTCTCTCTTCTCGAGTTTCCGTACGCTTAGATTGATTCAATATATGCGTTTTTTGTTGTTGTTTCTATAGCCAGGAGGACTACTAGGTATGCACGTACAAAGAAGTCTAAGAAAAAGACAACGAAGCCTAATAATGTTTTGGGATTAAATACTCGTCACCAATAATAGTAATCGGTGATATGTCGTCCGGCGTATGTTGCTTTCGTGACAAAAATTTGGAAGCAAAATTATTCTATGGTGACTATCGTATAGTCACAGAAGTACATTATGAGTACAATATAAATCATCATAAATTGTGACTTCAGTGACAACCAAGCCTCGCCATAGAACGTAAAATGAATTTTAAGAAGTGTATTTGTGACAAAACTATACCCACATATGACAATTATTTGTGACAATTAAAAACATCATTGTTGTAGTTTTGGTGTTGGCAGTAACTTATCACAAAAAGAATCTCTACTGACGGCAAAATTGTCACACAAATCTTAGCATTTGTTACAAATAAAATTGTCACAATTGGATTAGTCATTTGTGACGACCTGGACTCGTCAGGAATGAAACTTAAAGGTTGCGAAAACTTGTAAAAAAACGTTGTTGATGTTTCCAAAATGTGTTTCAAAAAGTTTGAAAAGTGTTGCCTAAAATGTGTTGCCTAAAGGTCATATATGCAACCCTTTTTATTTTGGTTGCCAAAAATGAAAAAATAGTAGCGTATACCTTTTGCAACCCCCACTATAAGCAACCCTAGTAAAAGTGTTGCGCTAAGATGTTGCAACTCTTTTAAGACTATACGTAACACTTTTATTGGAGTTGCAAGAGGCCTTTTTTCCCGTAGTGATGCATGTTGATTAATATTACTATCGTTAATGTATACTTTTAATTTTGTGTTAGTCCAACGTTAAACTGTTCAAAAATATGAAGAAGAAAAATATAGTCAAATATTTGTTACTGCTGGTCGGGTAGCATGGCATGATTGTGATACTTATCAAATGGGAATGCAATTAAATCATGTGTGCTTTTACTCGTACGTGGTGAAAGTGATAATTCAATTCATTAAGACCGTAATTAATTAGTTAATTATATTAGTAAAAAACCCCAATTGGATATGCATTGTAACTTTCAGTCAACTCAAAAGTCAAGCAGGTTTTCATAAATAAATAAATAAAAAAAGTCAACTCAAAATTCCTCCAATTGGCTATGGCAGAAAGAAAAAGAAAAAAAGTCATCCGTTTGGTTTTCTTTCCTAATTCTAAGTTGCTTGGGGAACAAACAAAGGCCGGCGAAGGTAGGGGCTGTTTGGGACTGGGGGAAATTTGCCACGAAACTGCGAGCTGCCGGCTAACACAGAGCAAAAGCTATGGCCCATTTGCCAAACACCGTCATCAACATTAAGGTTAATGTTGATCTAAAACATTGTCAGCCAAGTAAGAGAAAACCATATCCTTCATATCACCGGCCAGGAGTATCCTTCCAGTATAGGAAATTCGAATATTAGAGGACGTCCACGTTAGTTATCCGATTGTATGTTACGGGTTGAAATTGTAGTGTATGATTAATTGACTATGATGATTGGTTTAATTAAAGTTTGTTAAGTAATACTAGAAGCTGGTCATTGGTTACTATTCTCATCGAGTATAGCCGTATAGGTTGAATTTGTTAGTCAATCAATACGCACGGCGCAGGTAGAAGTTATATTTATATTATGGAAGTCCTATTTGTGTTATAAAATGACATAACAACAAAGATGAGTTGGGGGAAATGAAACCCTCGGCCTTTTGGTGTTTCTCATTTATACTTGGGTTTAAATAGGCAAAAGCTTTGCACTACAAGACAACATGTGCAAGCTAGCATTTGGA